GAAGTTGGCTCCGGCAGACCTTAAATCGTAGGCACTAAATAGTACTGGAGTAAATATATACTTGGAGAAATAGTCCTTGTGGGGCTTGGACACCTATTGATTATTTTAGACTAGCCTCATGGAGGATTGATGTCATGGGGTCATCACCAGTTCAAAATCCTGTTCTTAATCAGGAGGTGGAAGGTTAAATTCAGTTTCATTCACCTACGTGGGCTGACTGGGATTTCGGCAGTTGCTATACAATGAATTATAACAGCTTGCTTTTAGATGCAGGATGTCTTTTACTCTGAATTAAATAAAATCTCAATTGATTGTCTAGGACCTGCCCCCCTCCCCCACCATCACATTTGGGTGTCTTAGAAGTTTGGTGAACAGGGAAACTTGTTGGTTGATCTTGTGGTCTGTTTTCATAAAGCCTCTGATAGAACCTAGAGACTTTTTCCAGCTTTATGTTAAACTATGCTCTTCTAAAAAGCAGAGCCGCTGTGTCTCCTCACTTCTTAGATGCTTGTGCAGTCTTATGTCCAGTGCTCCCCATTCAGAATTCCTTCCCAGAACCACTTTTACTTATTTCCTTGTGCACAGGCATGCGTTTTAGTTTCCAATATTACATCGTCTGTTTCATTAGTTACAGTTTAGGTTGATGTCCCTTGGGAGTGTATTAGCCTCCCTGCTAAGCTTCTAAGCCGAGCTCCAATTGTAGTCAGCAGCATAGGTGTTTACTTCTCAGGAAGAGAGAGAATTCCCCAGATGGCTAATGTCACCCATTTTATGTTGGTTCTTAGTAGTTGAGATGGAGAGAATATTCTGACACATTCCAAAATTTTTTGCATCATTTTTACGGTCTACTGTAGGTATAGAAGGCGGTCCTTTTTATCTAGTCACTTCCTTCTGAAGTACAGTCTAGTTAAGTACAGGAGGCAGGAGCTTGTACTATTAGTTAGCTCTGAATTCTCTCTCTCCCTCTTCCCCATGCATGTCTCTTGAGACTGTATCTTTAAACTTTGTGCTTGTTTATTAGAATTTACCATCTCAGTCTCTGCTTCCTCTTCTGCTTGTCTCTTAACCACTTCCTTTGAAAACAGGAAAGAACCGGAGACTGAAGCAGGCCAAAGAAGAAGCCCAGGCTGAAATTGAACAGTACCGCCTGCAGAGGGAGAAGGAATTCAAGGCCAAGGAAGCTGCGGTGGGCTCAGTTTATTTTCATTACTGCCTTAGTTTCCTGAGGCTTCCTTCTCCTCCTCTTCCCCTTAGGCTCTCAAAATATCCAGCGTAGCTCAGAGATTCTGATTGTGGTAGAAATTTGAAAATTTGGTTACTGGATGCTTAGGCTGAATCTCTTAAGGTGATTAATTTTTAACTAACATTTGAATCCTAGTCTTCATTTATCCAGTTAAATTATTGAGTTATTAATAGATATAATTAGATTTTAAATATAGATAATTTATATAGATAAGTTATTTAATATATATATTGAATATAGATATTATTAAATATCTTTTGAACAGTTAATGTGTGCCAGATGCTAGAGGATCAACTGTGAACAGAAATAGACATGGCCCTCATGGAGTTTAGCGTACAGCCTGGTGGTCAGGGACACTTAGTAATAAAGTGCCTGGTGGTCAGGGACACTTAGTAATAAAATGCAAACCAACAACTGAAGAGGGCTGTAATGGTCATAAACATAAATCACATGGAGCCCCACTTTAGTCACTTATCAGTAGTATAGGCTAGACCACAATGTGTAAGATGTGTAAGATGCATATAATAATAGTACAAAAACAGATACAGAAAGTACAGAGAAAGTAGGGAAAATTCTGGAAAAGGGAACGGATGGAGGAGGCTTCGTAGAGAAAAGAACCTCTATCAGGACTCTTGGATACAGGCAGCAGAAAACAGTGCAAACTGGTTTAAGCAAAATGGAATCTATTGACCTATATGCTTGGAAGCCCAGGTAAAGGCTAAGGTTTTTTGGGTTTTTTTGCAGGCCTCTCACTGTTGTGGCCTCTCCTGTTGCGGAGCACAGGCTCCAGACGCGCAGGCTCAGCGGCCATGGCTCACGGGCCCAGCCGCTCCGCGGCATGTGGGATCTTCCCGGACCAGGGCATGAACCCGTGTCCCCTGCATCGGCAGGCGGACTCTCAACCACTGTGCCACCAGGGAAGCCCCACTTGGACCTCTTTGAGCCCTGGTTTCCTCAACTGTAGAAAGGGGAGTGATAGCCTCCTCATAGGTTATGGAGGAATAGGTAACAGGTCATATGAGAGAATGCTCTGTAAACTGATGTGTTACACAAATGTGAAGGGATATAGTTGTAAACCTTCATAATGAGGCGATAGCAGTTTAGGTGATGAAAAGATTCAGGCACAAAAAAGTGATACCTTAAGAACCTGATAAATCACATTCTAATAAAGTAGGCATAACAGTTAACAAAGAGAAGACAGTGGACAGTAAAAGAAAATCTGTCCATCAGTGTGTGTGTTAAGTTGTAAATGGAAACTGAAGAGGTGAGACATCCATGCACTAAAAATTTCAAGCAATAAAATAGGGCAACAATGAAGGGATAGTTTCCCTCTCACCCAGACCCACAGTCCTCTTTAGAGATAACCACTGTTAACAGTTTCTTGTGTATTCTTGTAGAATATTTCTACTTGAAAGAACAGATGTCACGTATTCTTAATACTGGTGAAACCACTGTTGAACTTAAGAGCTAAAACATTAACCAGTAATGGTGAAACTCTATATTCCTTCTAAATTGTATTGCCCTTGTGTTTGTTATTTTTTAAGAGCTTTTTTTTTTTTTAAAAACACCATGTATCTACTCCCTTTAAAACCACACAAGGAGACATAGTACTAACCACCAGGCCTCAGTTGTTAGGTCTTTAGGTTCATTCCAGTCTCTGGTTAAGGCTGCACGTGAGGCTGTAGAGGGATGTGACTGTGGAACCCTGACTTCTCTCACGCTCTTCAGTCATGCTGCTGATTACTTATATTCATTATGAGACTGGGTTTCTTCAAAAGTCAGAACGTTGCTTATTAAATGTTGTTCCTGCCCAGCGGGAGCATCGTCCTGATGTTCCCTCTGTCATTGCTCCCCGACTCCAGGCTCTGGGATCCCACGGCAGTTGCAGCACTGAAGTGGAGAAGGACACCCAGGAGAAGATGACCATCCTTCAGACCTACTTCCGGCAGAACAGGGATGAGGTCCTGGATAACCTCTTGGCCTTTGTCTGTGACATCCGGCCAGAAATCCATGAGAATTACCGCATAAACGGATAGGGGAAGAGCAAAAGCGCTGTGCCGTGGATTGGCATTTTAGATGCCTTCATAGAATATGAGGCTTTAACAAGGCTTGGGTTATATTCTTGTGAAAAGGCATTAAATAATTTCTGTATATTATATAATAGGTCCCTTCACTGTTTGCAGAATAGCAATCATAGCTTCTTTGTACAAACTTATGGCCTATCCAAAGATTTTATCTTTTTACCTCACATTTCTTAGAAACTTAATGGGTATATGTTGTCTGTTTTCCTATACCTTTTCGCTCGAGTGGCATATTATGAACACTGACTTTTTCTTTCTTAGATATAGTTTTTTTTTCTTTTAATTTTATGTCATAGCTTTATGTTGCAACTCTACTTGTTCAAAAGTTAGATCATGAAGGTTCCTTCCTATGACCTTAGATATAGTTTAAAAAAAAAACAATTTTCTTAAGAAAGAAAGGGATTAAATTTTTTTTTTTTCCCTAACTCTTTCTTGAAGGTCAGGGGCTTTATCTATGAAAAAGTAGTAAATAGTTACTTGTAACCTATGTGAACAGCCGGCCTTAAAATAGTCCTTTCCGGCCAGGAGTTAGTGGGTACTAGTACTGGGCTGCTTTTGGTTTCTCTTATTTAAAATTACTAGATGATAGAATTCAAGAACTTGTTGCATGTCACTGCTTGGTGTACTGATACTGTACGAATAATCATTTAAAAGTCAAGACTCTGTCATGCATATTTTTCCCCTCTGCTTCATCCTCTTTGATAATGCAAAATGCACTTTGACCCAGATGTTCTGCAGAATTTCACTAAGGAAATTAAATTAGCACATGTATCACACACGTTCTCATACATACTTAGAAAATATTCATGGTGCATATCTTAGCAGGAAGGAAATCACTTTCTTCGGTCATTTCACCCAACAACTGTTTTGAAAAACAGCAAGCAGGGGACTTCCCTGGTGGTCCAGTGGTTAAGAATCCACCTTCCAGGGCTTCCCTGGTGGCGCAGTGGTTGAGAGTCTCCCTGCCAATGCAGGGGACACGGGTTCGTGCCCCGGTCCGGAGGATCCCACATGCTGCAGAGCGGCTGGGCCTGTGAGCCATGGCCTCTGGGCCTGCGCGTCCAGAGCCTGTGCTCCGCAACGGGAGAGGCCACAACAGTGAGAGGCCCGCATAAAGCAAAAAAAAAAAAAAAGAATCCACCTTCCAATGCAAGGGACAAGGGTTCGATCCCTGGTCAGGGAACTAAGATCCTACGTGCCGCGGAGCAACTCAGCCATTGCTCCGCAGCTACTGAGCCTGTTCGCCCTAATGAAGACTCATCGCAGCCAAAAAATTAAAAAAAAAAAAACCACACACACACACAAAACAGCAAGCAACTAGTAGATCTGAAGTTTGCCTTTTCTCTAGAGCACCCTGTCCTGGGGCAGCCTTGGACAGGTTATCAAGCGTGTTTCCTTCCTGGTGGGCTAAATGCTGAGTGTAGTACCTACAGTAACTTCACTCTAGCACTTAAGAATTAAATGCCCTCTGGACTTCCCTGGTGGCACAGTGGTTAAGAATCCGCTTGCTAATGCAGGGGGACAGCTTCGAGCCCTGGTCTGGGAAGATCCCACGTGCCGCGGAACTACTGAGCCTGCGCTCTAGAGCCTGCCAGCTACAACTACTGAAGCCCACGCTCCTGGAGCCCATGCTCTGCAGCAAGCAAAGCCACCACAACGAGAAGCCCACGCACTGCAAAGAAGAGTAGCCCCTGCTTGCCGCAACTAGAGAAAGCCCGCGCAGCAACGAGGACCCAACGCAGCCAAAAATAAATTTATATTAAAAAAAAAATGCCCTCTGACCCCCTAGAAGCTGAAAGTCTTCCGCTGCAAGATAATATCTGGTACGTAGAAACAATTGAAAGAACATTGTGCTGAAACTATGGGGGAATTAGAGGGCCTTTTAAAAAATTGTATCTTTTATGTGACTGAGGATGGGTGGATCTCAGGCCACTTCCGTCTCTAGTTGCTGTTCCCTCTCGCAGAATTCCTCATAAGAATTTTCTATACGAGCTTTTCCATTTTGTACTGTTCAGGCACTCCAGTCAGGCTTGCCATGCCATTGAAACTGCTTGCTCGTCAGGGTCAGCAATGATGACCTAGTTGGGGTCCAATCCTCTGCCTGCTTGACCTTCAGTATCATTGGACAGGGTTGGCTATTTCTTCTTGAGCCACTTTCTTAGCCTCCCTTCTGCAGCCGTGTGCCGCCTTGCCTCTCCAGTCTCTTGCTGGTTCCTCCGCATCTTTTCCTGTGGTTTTGTTCTTGTGTGTCTCTACGTCCCCATTTGAGACCATCTACATTTCATGGCTTTGATACGATCTATATTGAAGACCCAAATTTGTATCTCCAACTGTCCTGAACTCTAGAATTCTCAGATTGTTTATTTGATATTTTCATTCAGTTATCTGGTAAGCATCTCGATCCTAATATGTCCCAAACTATACCTGGTTTTGTTAGGACTTTACTCCTGGTATTGCTAAGTGTATCCAGACCACGGTCAGCAGTGTCCTTGACTTCTGCCCACTGGATGCCAGTAGTACCCTGTCAGTTGTGACAACCAAAAATGTCCCCAGACGTGGTCAAATGTCCCCTGGGGATCAAAACCACCCAGTTGACAACTACTGTTAAAGCAACAACAAAATTATTGAAAGTACCACACGATCCCTGGAACATTCTAGGTACTCAAAAATTGTGTCCTAATTTTCCAAAATTTGGTTCTGCTTTTCTCACCCTAATCATCCTTGATTATATGTCTAATAATAGCTCTTATTTGTTGGTATAGGATGTACTCTGAAGTCTCAGTGGCTTAATACAACAAAGATTTCTTACAATGTTTGATACATGTTGGGTGACCAAGGCAGCTGTTCTCCATGTGGTGATGCAGTGATTCAGATCACCTCCACTTTGTGGTTCTACCATTTTAGCACATGGTTCCCATGATTCCAGAGGCAAGGGAAGAAAAAGTTGGCAAACGTGCACCAGCTCGTCTATGCTTACGTCCTGAAATAAATGACACTTGTTCTCAGCTCACTGACCCTCGTGCATCACGTGAGCCAACCTGACTGCAAGGGAGGCTAAGAGATGAGGCAGATCCTGTGGTTATTTGGTGAGTAAAAAATCTCTGTTTTAATTGCAAACAGTAGCTTTCTCCATGCCAGCTAGGGACCACGTGCATTGTTCACGAGCAAGAATATTTTGAAAGGCATCTTTTTTCCCCAAGTAGTGGGTCTCAACAGTGGGTTTCAAATGTTCGGTAAACCATGTTGTAAACAAATGTGCTGTCATCTAGGCTTTGTTGTTCTATTTATAGAGCACAGGCAGAGTAGATGTAGCACAGTTCTTAAGGGCCCTAGGATTTTCAGAGTGGTCAGTGAACATTGGCTTCAACTTCAAGTCACCAGCTGCATTAGCCCCTAATAAAAGAGACTGTCCTTTGAAGCCAGGCACTGACTCCTCTCTAGCTATGAAAGTCCTAGATGGCATCTTCTTCCAACATAAGACTGTTTTGTCTACATTGAAAACCTTTGTTTAGTGTAGCCACCTTCATTCATTATCTTAGCTGGATCTTCTGAGTAACTTGCTGCAGCTTTTACGTCAACAATTACTGAATCATGGAGATGGCTTCCTTCCTTAAACCTCATGAACCAATCTCCACTAGCTTCAGACTTTTCTCTGCAGCTTCCTCACCTCTCTCAGCCTTCACAATTATACAGAGTTAAGGCCTTGCCCTGGATTAGGCTTTGGTTTTAGGGAATATTGTGGCTGGTTTGATCTTCTATCCAGACCGCTAAAAACTTTCACCAGGGACTTCCCTGGCGGTCTAGTGGTTAGGACTCCGAGCTTCCACTGTAGGGGCCCCGGGATCGATCCCAGGTTGGGGATCTAAGATTCCGCAAGCTGCACAGTGCAGCCAAAAATAAATAAAAATTTTAAAAAACCAAAGTATTTCTTCTGGTTTTGACCCAGTTTCCTGACAAATAGCATGTGACTTGTCCAACTCCCTGCACATTCCTGCCAAGGACAGTGGTGTGTCTAGGCCCAAGCTCTCCCGTGCGTATCTTACAGGGGAGTACTCACTGTGTGATGTGACTCCCAGGATTTCGAATCAATGTAATGGAGCCAGGAGCAATGGAACGTACTGTGGGGCGTGCTTTTGGAAATACTCTTTAAGATGGCTCTAATTAGTGGCCAAGCCTAGATTTGAACCCAGGTCTGCCTGACTTCCCAGCCTGGGTTGCTGTATGATTTAGTTCAGTGTGTTCTATGGCAGTGTTTCAAGCAGTGTGTTTCTAAAAGAGAAAGTCAGTGACTCTACAACTGGCAGGCAGATTCCAAAAAACAAGATCTAATTTTCGATCTTTGCCTTTTCACTTACTCATCCCATGGTTCTGAGGCTCTCTCCTGTCCTGTCTGCTGCCACACTTGAAGATTCTTCCAGGCCAGGAAGAAGTTCTTTCCCTCTTGCTTCACCAAGGTTGCCAGCTAGTTGGCAGCTAACCCTCAGACATGGGCCTGTAACCCTTGCAAACATGACAGGACGAAGGGGCTAATTGCTGAGTAAGGGTGGCTTTGGCTGGGGTTTGTGGTTATTTGGATTTGTCTGTAGTTGAGGCCCTGATAATTTCATTCGTAACCATTCATTCTCTAATTCAGATGTGTGTAACAATAGCTGGGGGCCAGCTCTGAGCATGGGCAGAAACAGCCCTGTGCCCCAAAGGTTTATTCTCCTTTTGGGAAAGGGGACACTGAACATTGACCATAGCGAGTGCTAGGTGTGGCCATAGGTTAAGGAAGAGTAACTATAAGAATGGGGAACTGGCCTGGGCTCAGGACAGGAGAGGGCTCCTAGAAGAAGGGCCCTTTCAGCTGAGACCTGAGAATGTGTCAGTTATCTGGGCAACGAGGTGAGGATGAGGTTTGAGGGTTACATTCCAGAGGGAGAAGGATGGCAACCACTGAGAACTGGAAGTGAGAGAGAGCACAGGTGTAGGAGGAACGAGAGATGGTCTGTGCTCTTGGAGCTTAGGGTTTTCAGAGGTTGGGGGACAGTGGGTAAAGATGAGTACAGGATAGGCTGGGGGGTGGGGAGGGGCTTGGGCCTACCACAGAGAGCCTTGTGAATCCATCAAGATAGCGCCACTGAAGACTGCTTTCCAGTGGACTTTACTAGGTATTACTCACCTTTTATCAGATTTCATTCATCTTTCTCCATTCTCCATGGAGCCCCCATTCCCTCACGCCATAGTGCTAGGCCTTGCCATTTACTGTATTTTTGGAGATGCAAAAGAATTGCCCAGAAATGCAGTTCACTTTTTTCTTTTTTAAAAATTTATTTATGGCTGCATTGGGCCTTCGTTGCTGCACAAGGGCTTTCTCTAGTTGTGGCGAGCAGGGGCTACCCTTCGCTGTGGTGCACGGGCTTCTTACGAGCCACAACTACTGAGCCCTCGTGCCACAACCACTGAAGCCCGTGCGCCTAGAGCCCATGCTCCGCAACAAGAGAACCCACCACAATGAGAAGCCTGCAGTTCACTTTTACTCAGCACTTTCTGCTAAGCACTTCATCATCTCATTTAATTCTTAAAATCTCTCAGTTTAGCAGATATTCTTATCCTTTTATAAATGAGGGAATTGAAACTCAGAGAGGGGAACTGGCCTGTGCAAGTTCACATGCCAGTGAGTGGTGGAGCCTGGTCAGCCAGTTCCAAAGGTCCACGTCTTCTGCCTCCTTAGCAAAGGAGGCTGATGTGTCAACGTTCAAGCTAGAGAGACAGGCAGTGAGAATGCAGAGTGAAGGTAGCTCAGCAGAAAGGGCAGGAGTATGACATCTGGCTTCATGTAGGAGGTAGGCCTTGCTGGGGAGGCAGGATTTATTTATTTATTTATTATTTAAAAAAAAAAATTAAACCTATTTTAATTTATTTTTTGCTGTGTTGGGTCTTCGTTTCTGTGCGAGGGCCCTCTCCAGGTGTGGCAAGGGGGGCCACTCTTCATCACGGTGCGCGGGCCTCCCACTTTCGCGGCCTCTCTCGTTGCGGAGCACAGGCTCCAGACACGCAGGCTCAGCAGCTGTGGCTCACGGGCCTAGTTGCTCCGCGGCATGTGGGATCCTCCCAGACCAGGGCTTGAACCCGTGTCCCCTGCACTAGCAGGCAGACTCCCAACCACTGCGCCACCAGGGAAGCCCGGGAGGCAGAATTTAGATGGTGACCAGTTCACACACCTGTCCCAGGATCCCTTTCAACATCCAGTCAGCAGGTAGGAGAACTCCAACAGCCCATGAATCTTGCTCCCATGCCCCCAGATTGTGTGTTGGGAAATTAGGCAAACTAAATAGAGATCTTGTGTGTCTTGCTCAGTGGTACCCAGAACAATGGCTGGCACTCGGCAGGCCCTCGGTGTCGATCTTTTGATGAATAAACGAATAAACTAATTTTTCGTAGCCTGCTTCCTGGATGCCCACTTGTCTGATGAATGCGGACGCTGCCCGGGCAGCATCAGGTGCTTATTCCTCAGTCACTGCTCTGCTCGTGTCCCCAGGCACTCCACCTCGGCCTCTGGCAGAGCATGAACACAGCTATAGCTGCTGAAATTAAAATTGCACCCATATTCTGACTCGGCAAGTCCACTTGTAGATAGGCAGCCTGTGGCATGTACCCGGCACTGTGGCTATGACCATCCCAGCAAGGCCTGTGAGCAAGAGTGGGAATTCCCCTTACATGTCCACGAGCGGAGAGAGGCAAAGGAAAGAAAGAGCCTTCCTATTACAATACATGGAGGTGAGTGCGCACCCCTTAAAAAGAAACGAGACAGAGGGGAGTGTTCTGGCATGAGGTGAATGCCAAGGAACTTTGCTGAATGAAAAAGCAGGGTGTCCAACAGAATAGAACAGGTTCCCTTTTGTGTAAATGCACAGTGTACACATCTGTCCATACGTTTCTATGGAAATGTACGCAAGGTTAGTGCTTTTCTCAGGGAAGGGGTTAGTTGTCACTGTAGACACCCCTGAAGTCTCGAGTGATGGTGCTGGGGGTGGCAGCCAACGTCTAGTGAGCGGCCATCATGTGTCCTGCAGTTGTGTACACTTCACACCGATTATCTGATTAGAGCTTTACACAATCCCATGAAACAGTATCATCTGTTGTTTACAGAAAACTAAGGCACAGAGAGGTTAAACACTATAGCGAAGATGACCTAAAAAATCGGAGACACCTGGCTTAGAGCTCAGGGAGCCTGATCCCCAAACCGATGCTGTTAACACAGTGCACATATAACTTTTCATTAAAAAACAAGTCCCTAAGAAATTTCTGGTCCAAATATTTCTTCATCCACCGGGTCCCGTGACTGTCAGACATGGGCTGGACCACGACGGGGAGACCGAGGCTCCGAGGGGGGTTGGAACTCTTTCCGTCCGGGACGCGGAGACACCCCCCCCCCCCCCCGCCCCCGCGCCTCAGAAGCGATGCGCGTGGTCGGCGAGCGCCGGGGCGCTTCCCGGCGTCCCGGGAGGGAGCCCGGCTTATGAAAGGCAGCTCCCAGCTCGGTTCCGAAGCGGGTCCGGGAGCCGGCTTCCCTCTGGGCCCCGAGGCGAGCCCGGCGGGCGGCTCCTCCCGGTGGGGTGACCGCGCGGGGCCGCCCCGGCCCGGGGGCGGGACCCGGGAGGGCGGCGCGCGGCGCGGGCGGCGGGCGGAGCGCGGGCAGAGGTGCCCCGAGGCTGCGGCGTTGTGGGGCGGCGGCGCCGCCCGACCTTCGGCGTCCCCGGGACCCCCGGGCGGCGGTGAGGGCGGCGACGGCGGCGCGGACGGGTGAGTGTGCGCGGGCCCGGGGCGCGCCCCCTGTGTTTGTGCGCGGGCCCGAGCGCGGGCGGCCGCGAGCCCCGATTTGAGCCGCGCGGGTCCCGTGCTGCCGCTGGGCTCCCGTGTCTTGGTCTGGAGTGGGCGCCGCGGGCCGCGTCCGCTTTCTTCCTGCGCCTTTGGGCCCCATTTCCCTCTGTCGTAAGTGGGAGCTGCTCTCGGGCGGCTCCTGGGAGCCGGTGGGCTTGGGACAGTGGGAGTGATTTCAGGGTGAGGGAGGCCCAGAGGCAGCAGACCCGGGAGGAGACTTGAG